TATATTATATGTGTGTGTATACATATATATGCCTATCAAGCCAAATTTGTGTATCCATACACTGGAGCCTAGATAACCTACCCAGAGTCACACCCTTAAAGAAAATCAACTCTCCCTCTCCCATCACCTATTGATTACCAAGTTTCTCAGCTAAGGTTAGGGTTGCTTACCCGCTTCCCAGCTTCTATGATGAGACTTTATCTTGCTTGAGCTTAAATGGGCTTTGTGCATGCTGTCACCATTGCTGTTTATATCATATGAGCCCAGCTCATATAAGTTTATATGATAACAGCCCAGCTGTCTGGAAAGCTCTGTTTCCTTATAGCCATTGACAACCTCTGGGTCTTACAATCTTTCCACTCCCTCTTCAACAATGATTACTGAGCCTTGGGAGGCAAAAGTTTAATATAGGTGTCCTATTCAGGGATAAGCAGTCTATAGCCTCTTATTCTCTGCATGTTGGTCAGTTGTGGTTCTCTGTTAATCAGCATATGCTACATGAGGAAGTTTCTCTACTGAGAGTTGAGAGATGCATTAATCTAATCAATAAGTCATTAGAAATGAGTTTAATGCTATATCTATTTAGCAGAATAATAGTATCAGGCTCTTCCCTGTGGCCTGTATAGCCACAGGTCCTGGGTCTGATATCAGTGTAAATATGGACTCCATTCTGTGGAGCAGACCTGAAATCCAATCAGAAAGCAGTTGATTATTCCCATAAAATGTGAACTGCTATTGTTCTAGTGGGCATATTTTTCCAGGCTACTTGTTGTAGCTTTCAGGATTCATAGTTGGGAAAGAATGATGTTTACTTTTCCGTTTGGGTAGCACACATAGCACCTTCCAGTACTATGAAATATATCCAGTAGAGATGAAAGCCAGAAGTCAGTAAAATCTTGATTTCTCCTTGTATGCTCTACAATTCATATATGCAGTGTCTTAAGCAATAAGGTCTTAACATGAAGTTCTGGTGGGTAATCAAGAACAGGGGCAATGATCAGAATTTGTGAGGGTCTATGGAACTCCCTGTCAACAGCTTCAAAATAGAGTCCATTCCTGGCACTGGGCTTTTTCTTTGTTCACTTATGGTGTCTACTTGGGGCAATAGCCCCTGTTATAGGGTAGGTCCTTTTAATCTCTCTTTATGTTATATAAAGAAGAAGCTTCTATAGTGGTGGGTTTCCATATGTCTTTTCCAAAGGTCTTTAGTGTTAGTTATCCCTCCTCATACTCGTCTCTCTTCCCTGCCCTCCCATTTCCAATCCCCCTTAAGCCTTTCTACTCTATTAGCCTATCCCTCTTTGTATCATTGCATTCCGTCTCCATTCCTATGATGCTCCCCTCCCATGGCCCCTTATTACTTTCCGGACCTCTATGGATTTTCAAATTGAAACATGCATAGATCTAAGGATTCAAAACTAGAACAACTTATGAGAAAGAATATGCAATTTTTTGTCTTTCTAGGTCTGTGCTACCTCACTCAGGATAATTGTTTGCAGTTTCATTCATTTTCCTGTGAATTTCATAACTTCACTTTTCTTAACATGTGTAAGAATTCTGTACTGAGGGCCAGAGAGATAGCTCAATGGTTAAGAGCACTGGCTCCGCTCCTGGGCTCAAATCCTGGCACCCATATAGCAGCTAACAATCATCTGTAACTCCAGTTCCAGTGGAACTGATGGCCTCTTCTGTCTTTTGCAGGCACTGCATGACATGGTGCACTTACCTATATGCAGGCATTACACTCATACACATAAAATAAAAAGTGATAAATAAAATTTTTTTAAAAACAGAAAACTAAACCAAAACAAAGCAACAAAACAAAAACAAACCAAAAAAATGATTGTGTACTGTACCATATGTTCATGATCTATTAATCAGTTGGTGGACATGTAGGTTGTTTCCATTTCCTGACTATTATGAATAGAGCAGCAATGAGCATGGAGAACAGGTATCTCTATAGTAGGATATACAGCTTTTGGGGTATATGCCCAAAAGTGGTATGACTGGATCATGTGGTAGATCTATTTGTAGAGTTTTGAGGAATCTCTACACCTATTTCTATAGTGGGTGTTCCAGTTTGCACTCCCACCAGCAGTGAATAAAACTTGCCCTTTCTCTACATCCTCACGAGCATTTGTTGTCAGTTTTTTTTTTTATCTTTGCCATTCTGACTGAGATAAGATAAAATCTCAAGTAAGTAATTTTAATTCGCATTTCTCTGATGGCTGATGGCTAAGGATGTCACATATTTTTTAATTTGTTGGCCAGAGTGGCTCAAGAGACTCCGAGACAGCAACCCAGCATAGAACTGGGGAAAGGAACAGCAGACCCCAACCTTATTTAAAGGAATGTTGGTAACTGATTGCTGCTGAATGAGGAAGAGCTGATCTTCCTAAAAGGGAACTCTAGATAGGCTGACTAGACCCAGCTGATGGACAAGCACTGGAGCAGGGGGCACCAACAACAGAGTGGACAATAACAGGGATGACAGGTATGTATGCTCCATTGGGGGGGGGCTATGGGAGGGTGCCATTTGGGATGTGGGTATGTGGACGAATAAGATTGCTTGGGATGTTCTGTATGAAATACACACACACAAATCAATAAATAAAAAATGAGTTATATTTGAGGAAGAAACATAAAATTTTGCTTCATATTAATTAGTAGATGTGAAAAACATTACCATTAAAATCTACCTGATTCATATCTGTGCTCAGGTGCCAAGGATCTCAGAAAGAAATGACTGTGACTAGTAATAATCAGATATATAGAGATTAGAGATACATGTGCAAACATCTAAGTGTTAGTTGCATTAAAAATGACTTTTTCTGTATAATACAGTATACATTAAAATGAAATGGAGATTTTTTTAAAGGTTAAAACCTCATTCAATTTATGTCTTCTAGTGTATATACTGAGTACAATATTGTATAATTGTATTAATTCAACTGTGAACCTAAAAAGTTACAGCCAATTTTGAAAGAGATGCATCTTTGCTCTGGAAACTGTTATTGAATATGACAATGCTGTTTTAATGAAATGCTTCTATTAATTATGTGGTTATTAAATAAATAATTTTTTTAAATATGAAAAAAATTTAAATTAAAAAATATTTCTTAGCTATTTGCATTTGATATTTTGAGAACTCCCTGTATTAGTTGCTTTTAAGTTGCTGTGATAGAAAACTGGCCCAAGAAACATATAGAAGGAAGGGTTTATTTGAACTTATGGTTCCAGGGGATTACCAGTCTGCCATGGTGGGGAGGCACAGTGGCAGAGGTGGCTTGAATATGAAGCTAAACTCTTGCATCTTCAAGCAGGCACAGGAAACAAGACAATGACTCAAGATCCAGCAAGGCTTAAGAACTCCTAAGCCTGCCCCCAGTGACATGCTTCCTCCAGCAAGGCCACATCTTCTAAGACCTCCCAAACCAGTGCCACCAACTGAGGACAAAATGTCCAAATACTTGGAGCCTATGAGGGTCATTTTCATTCAAATCACCACACTCCCTAATCAGTTCCTTGCCAAAATTTTAAATTGTGTTGTTTGGATTTTTTATGTTTCATTTTTTCAGTTGTTCACATATTCTAAATACTAACCCTTTATCACATGCACAGCTGGTAAATATTTCTTACCATTCGGTAGGTCACCACTTCACTTGAGTGATGGGTGTCCTTTGAAGTATAGAAGCACTTTGGCTTAATGAAGTCCCATTTCTCAATTGTTGGGCTTAATGCTTGTGCTACAGGAGTCCTGTTCAGAAAGTTCTTCCTATGCCTATAAACCTCAGTGTACTCCCTGCTTATGCCTCTATCAGATTCAAAGTATCAGGTCTTATGTTAAGTTCTTTGATCCATTTGGATTTGAGGTCTGTGCAAGGTGAGAGACAGGGATCTGGCTTCATTCTTCTACATGTAACTATTCAGACTGACCAGTATCATTTGTTGCATATGCTGTCTTTTTTCCAATGTTTGTTTTTGGCTCCTTTGAGAAAAATCAGGTGACTATAAGTACATAAACTTAAATATGGGCCTTTGATTCCATTCCATTGATTAACGTGTCTCTTTTATGCCTCTACCATGCTATTTTATTACTTATTATTTATTGCTTAATAAAATTTTATATACTAGCTGCTAAGAAATCAAATCTCTCATATTTATTAAACCAGGAATACATTTGATAAAGATACCCTGCTTAAAATAACAAGGTATGTACATGTTCACACATATGCAAATGTTGACCTTGCATATATATAAAGACACAAATATACTTTAGGTGTGCTACCTATGATAAATAGGGCTATTAGTACAATTGCTGAATCCTGGAAGGACAGTCCTGCTTTGTTTGTTGTACACAGAGTATAAACTCAACAGATGGATTTAATTCAGAATTTCTCTCCAGTAATAGCCATCTCTTGAAAAAAAAAATACTGTTTTCTTGCACTAAATCCTACAAGTCAGTCTTTTTAATTTCGTATGAATTTCCATTACCCTAGTAAGAAATATTGAAAATGGGAGATTATTATAGGAATGCTACATGACTTTCTTCCATTCAGTAGTGCTTAGATGTTTCAGAATAACTTGTGAACAAAAAAAAATTACTTAGGTGAGCAAACTAAGTCATGTATAAAATGGAAATGCAATTAAAAGCTTGCACTCTCTATTTGCTATTAGGAGAAGCACTTAACCTATGTCACGCATCTGATGATAACCAAAAGTAAACTTGAAAAAACCATATCTGCAGAAAATTAATCTCTTCTAATTAGATTCCATAGGTTTTCACACTGGGAGTTTTTAAATGCTAAAATAGCATGGGTTAAAATAATAGAAAATATATACACACATTTATAACAAATAAGCAACAATAAAGCAATCTAAATAAGAGAATATGTGGTTTGCATATCTGAAAGCCCAAAGATAAACACTACTCACAGCATACTTAGTGGCTACTGTATGGTTTTGCAGTGTTCTTATGTCCATTCATTCCTGTGTCTCAGCTTCATCCTCAAAGTGGTATCAAGACTCTGGTATCAGTTCCATGCATCACATCTCCAAAAAGAATCACTGGAAATATATGAATGAGTTTTACAGTATGGACTAAATCTGGACTTATTTAACCTTGCACCAAAAAGCAACTGTTTATAATATAAACAAGTTCACTGAGCTATGTGCTCCTCTTGTGACCTGGAGGACTCTTCTTGACAGTGTGTGTGTGTGTGTGTGTGTGTGTGTGTGTGTGTGTATTCATATATATAGTATTTAGATCTAGTAATCAAAGGGAAAGTTTCTCTGATAAGATAAGGTTAAATCCCAGCTTCTACTTCCCAAATTCTTGCTGGTTAGGCTGCTTCAATAAAAGTGTAAGTGACACCTGGCTCCCAGAAAGTTTATGTACTTACCTGCCCTGAAGATACTGAACCTTCCAAAGCTATCCATTCCTAGAGAGAGCAAAGGACACTCCTGTAAGCATGCTTTTGATACACAAGCAACTCATCCACAGCTGACACCCACAACCACCTCCAGGCATCTGTCCTAGTCACCTAAGAGACATGTGTCAGAAAACAAAGAACAGTTGGTCCCTTGTCCCAAGTGATTCATAAACTTCTCCACACCTGTCAGTACTAAATCTACTTACTCTGTCTTGTCTTTCCCTTCTCATGAAAAGCACAATAAAGACTCCCACCCACTTTTCTTCTTGTTCTCTCTGTCTTTTGACCTGTGTTAGTCCTATCCTACATGGCCCCCAGGACCTCTTGATCTGTGAGTAGCAAACATCATTGCAATGGTAGTCTGCTAATCTGCTAGCCTGGACCTATCAGAATAATAATAGCATAGACAATAAAAACATTCTTCCTGCCTTAATTGATCAAATTAGCATCATATATCTATTCCTGAACCAACCAATGACAAAGAGAATAGATTTTAAATCAGGTGATGTTTTCCAATAATGTGTAAGAGGCACTCTTGAGTGCCACAGTAAACTAACAAGAATGCTGTGGTGTGTTTTAGATTTTTTTGAATGAAATACAGTGATTGTTAGTATTTATAGGATACCAAATAAACTTTTAGCATGAGGAAACTCACCATTTCCACATTAGATCCTGATAGCTCCTTTAGATGATACCATTATTTAGAGAAGCTGCTTTTTCAGAAGTTGCTGTGATAAAAGAAGGAAAGAAAGATAGAAAGGAAGGGAGGGAGGGAAGGAGGGAGGGAGGGAGGGAGGAAAAGAAGAAAGAAAGAAAGAAAGAAAGAAAGAAAGAAAGAAAGAAAGAAAGAAAGAAAGAAAGAAAAGAAAGAAAGGAGAGAGAGAAAGAAAGAAACAAAGAAAGAAAGAGAATTTTTGGTGAGTTCAAGATAGTGTAGGTAAAGATACACAATCAAAGCTCAAGTTTGAAAAGTTGTATTTAGAAATGTTAAGGTTGAGATCTGTATACTCCCCCAGACTTGCTGTGGTGAGTTCCCTCTGCCCTCTCAGTTCACAGACCTACTTGTGTCCTAGGATTCTTCCTTGGCCCAGACATGTGATCCTGAGTTCCCTTTCCTGAGACTTCCTCACACCCCACCATCTTAGCTCTCAGACCTCCTTCTGTCACTAGAATCTGTACCTACCCCATATTTTCCTGTTCCCCCAGATTTGCTGTGGTGAGATCCCTTCACCATCTCAGCACTCAAGCTGGTCGAAGATGCAGAAAATATTTTTTAAAAATCATAGGAGAAAATATCCCAATCTAGGGGAAGAGATTTCTACTAAGGCACAGGAAGCATACAAGACACCAAGTAGGTGGGATCTGAAAAGAAACTTCCCATGTCATATAATAGTTATAACACTAAACACATAAAGGAAGGAAAAGACATTGAAAGCTGTAAGAAAGATCAAGTCACATACAAAGAGAGGTCCATCAGAAAAAGAGCTGACTTTTCAATGGACCTTATGTAAGTCAGAAGGACTTGGACTCGTCCTACAAGTCCTGAAAGAACAGTGGATGCAGTTCAGACTACTACACCCCCACCGCCTCCCACCCCCACCCCCAATTTATTTTTACATGTAATTGGAGAAAGAAATTTTTTCCATGATAAAAATATATTTAAGGATCCTGTCCAGGCCCAATGTGGGCCTATGTCCCTTCCCGCTACCACTGCCTGAGAGCATCAGACTATTAGGCCCTACATAAACATTCCACAGTGAGAACTACCCAGAGGAATCCCAGGACACAGAATTTAAAAGATGAATCATAGACATGCAAGGAATTCAATGAATTTTAAAAGATACAAACACTCAAAGAACTCAATAGGAATAAACTCCTTGAAGCTCAAGAAAATACAAATATGCAGCCAAATGAAATGACAAAAACAATTCAAGAGTTGAAAAGAAAATTCACAAAAGAGATAGAAACATTGAGGTAAACTCAGGCTGAAATGGAGTTGAAAAACCCAATAAACCAATTTGAAATAACAGGAAAAAGCCTCACCAGCAGAATGAATCAAATAGAAAACAGAACATCAAGACTGGAAATTAATGTTGAAGAACTGGACTGTCTAAGCCAAAGAAAACAGAAAAAAATTTTAAAACACGGGAATGGAATGTGCAGGAAATGTGAGACATCAAACAAAGAACAAATCAATGCACCACAAGGAAAGAGGAAGCAGAAAAATCTAAGATCAGTGGCATTAACCACATCTTCAACAAGATTATAGAAGAAAACTTCCCTAAATTATGGAATGACATACACATGTATATATAGAAAAAGCACACACAAAATAGAACCAGAACAGAAACTCCCCACAGCATATCATAGTAAAAGCACAAAATGTTCAGAAGAAAGAGAGGGCACTGAAAGCTGGAAGACAAAAACAGCAAGTTACATATAAAGGAAAACCCATCAGAATTACAGCTGACTTTTCAATGCAAACTATAAAAGCCAGACAAGCCTGGAGCAAAGTGTTCCAAAACCTAAATGAACATAGATACAAATCCAGTAAAACTGTCTACCATTGTTGAAAGGAAAAATAAATATCTTCCATGATATAAAGTCCAAAAAGAATTCATTTCCATCAAAACAGCACTACAGAAAATATTTGAAGCAATACAAAGGACCAAATAAATGAATGACAATACCCAAGAGGCCACAGAAAGAAAATAAATGGAAATATAATTATAGAAATACAAAATAGGATCCAGAACAAAACAGAAAATAAAATGACAGTAACCAATATACACTTTTCAGTAATAACTTTAAATATCAGTGAACTCCATTCCTCAGTCAAAAGACAAAGACTTGGTGAATGGATTTAAGAAATAAAATTCATCCTTTCCTTGTCCATAAGAAATTCATATTACCATCAAGAATCAGCACCACCTTAGGATGAAAGGATGGAAAAGTATTCCAAGCAAATAGCACTAAGACATAAGCAGGTATTGTGATTCTAATATATGACAAAATAGATTTCAAATTAGAACTGATCTAATTTGGGGGGGGGGAGTCATTTCATTCTGATCAAAAGGAACAACTTTCCAATCATGAACATATGCATCAAAATCTGGTGCACCCAATTTCAAAAAAAAAAGAGTGCTGTTGCATTTCAAGACAGAGATTAACACAAACTCAGTAACAGTGGGTGATTCAATACCTAAATCTTTCCAATAGGTCAACTAGACAAAGAATAAACACATAAAGCATCTGAATCAAATGATACATCAAATGGACTTAACAGACAACTACACAATATTCCAGTCCAGCACCAAAGAATACACAGTCTACTCATGAAAGATTATGTAAAATAGACTATGTCCTGGGGCATAAAACAAACCTGAAAAAATACCAAGAAACTGAAATAATTTCATGTATATTACATCAGGCCACAGAGCAAACTTAAAATCAACAGCAAAGATGCTCTAGTAACTACACAAACTCATGGAGATTAAGTAACACCTCTTAAAAACACATCTCTTAATGGGTCAAAGAAGAAATGAAGAAAGAAATAAAAGTTTTCCTTAAGGTAAGTTAAAATGATAACATAACAAAATCTCTGGAACACATTAAAATCAGTCTTAAGAGGGAAATTTTATACCTCTAAGCACCTACATTATAAGATCAGAAAGAGCACAAATAAAGAACTTAATGGTATAACTCAAGAATCTAGAAAAGTAAGCACAAATAAAACCCAAGCCTAACAGAAGAGATCATAAAAAATCAAAGCAAAAATGAATGAAATAGAAACAACAACAACAAAAAATACAATGAATCAAAGAATTTAACGACTAGTTCTTTGCAAAGATAAACAAGGTAGATAGACCTTTAGTCCATTTAACAAAAAGAAAGAAAGAACATATTCAAATCAACAAAATCAAAGATGAAAGGTACAGGAAAAGACTTTCTAAATTGGACCTTAGTAGCTCAGGAATTAAGGTCAACAATTAACACATGGGAACTGATTAAAAAGTTTCTGTACAGGATAGCAAACAACCAATTGAATAAAGAGGAAACCCACAGGGTGGGGAGATAATGTTTAACAGCTATACATTTGACTGGATTAATATCCAGAATATACAAAGAACTCAAGAAGCAAAGAATCAAGAAAATGAATGATTAATTCAAAACTGGGCTAGAGCTCTGAACTGAGAGCGCTCTCAAAAGAAGAAATAAGAATGGCTAAGAAATACCTTTAAGGACATTCAGTATCATTAATAATTAGAAAAATGCAAATCAAAAATAAATTAAGATTTCATCTTAACCCAGTCATAATGGCTAAGATCATGAGAACAAATGACACCAAGCACTAGTGAGGATGTTGGGAAAGGGGTAGCCCTCAGGGACTGCCAACTGCTGAAAACATGAGAGAAATCAATATGGAGAACTCAAATCAATATGGAAAACTAAAAATAAATCTACCATATCATCCAGTTATTCTATTCCCAAAGAATCCACCATACTGCAGAGATAGTTGCACAGTGATATTTGCTGCAGCTCTTTTCACAATAGCTAAAAAATGGACACAAACTAAATATCCCTCATCTAATGAATGGATAATGAATACACATACATTTACACAATGGAGTTCTATTCAGCAGCAAAGAAAAATCAAATCATGAAATTTGCAGGTAAATGAACAGAACTAGAAATTCTTATGCTAAGTAAAGTAACACAGACTCAGAAAAACAAGCAATGGATGTTCTCTCTCATTTCTGGATCTTAGCTCCAAATCATTAGATGTGAGTATATATCCTGTTGTAACCACAGAAGCCAGAAAAATGGAAAGGAACCATGGCAGTGAAGGGGATAAAGGAGCTTGAGAGAGGGTTATAGTAGGAGACTGTGGTCACCGGCTGTGGCTGCTCTCCTCTGGCTATGGTCGCTCTCCTGCCTCTCAGTTCCTCCAATCAGTCACCTGGTCCGGACCCCAGGGCTGGTGAGGAGTCTGCGCCAGCATCGCTGCATTCAGACGCAGGAGACCAGGTTCAATGACACAGATCTGCTTTTACAGAAAGTACCGGCTTATGTAGGGGTAATAGTCCAATCATAACACAGCATATGGGATCCCTTATTAGCATGGCAGACTAGTATCCTATTACACTCTAGCGGGCCAGATGCCCTATTAGCATGATAAGTTTCAGTTTCTCTAAGTTTGGATTCCTGGAAACCTTGTGGCTTACATAGTTTTCTCTCTGATAAGAAACAGGAAGCACTGCATTCCAGCATGATAGATATGTAAGGCAAAAGGCAAAATCAGTCACAAGATTTTCCACAACAGGAGACAGTTGTAATCAAGGGGGAAATGGAGAAAATGGGACACTTTAACAGGGGAAGGAGGAGGGATAGTTTTTCAGGAGGAGAGAAGAAAGATAAATAATGCTTAGGAGGTATGGAAAACCAGAGGTAAATGCATTCATTCATAAAGTCTTTTGAAAACTACATATACAAAATACATATATATGTGTGCATGTGTACAGATGAAGTTTTTTAACAAAAAGCACAAAAAGCAGGAGAAATCTCCTTTTGAGTTATTGGTTAAGATAGTCCAAGAGTATATTGCTACAGCCCTTGATTGCCTCCCAGAACTTGAAGGTAAGACCCTATTGTTGAAGACAGGACATTCTGACCCAGGACTTGGAACAATCGAGCTAGAACTAAACTGGAATCCTCTTCCCTGAGGACTA